GGCTCCCAACTTTGAGAGTGAGACCTCCAAAATAACGACATATTACAACGAAAGAAGGGGGAGACTGTGCAGGATTCCCCCATTTAATAACCGAGCCGCGGCCAGAGTACAGACTCTTCGTGAGGGATCACTGTCCGTGGTAGGACCGAGGCTCTTTAATGCCTTGCCAAAAGCGCTGAGAGGAGGGGGAAATCACCCATGCAACATTCAAGAGACGACTGGACAAGTGGTTGAGCAAGATCCCGGATTGTCCAGTAATGGGGAACCACACTCAGCAAGTGACAAGCAACAGCATCTTGCATCAGCTGGCCCAAATGAGGGCTAATAGACGGAACACGTCCAACGTTGCATCCGACGACGACTCGGAGACGGAGGACGACGAAGGCGGCGCATCAGCGTGACCGTGGACTGCGACGTCCTAAACTCATCATAAGGTCATCACTCACACATCACCCACACATCACCCACACATCACCCCCACATCACCCACACATCACCCACCCACCACCCAGACCCCATCAATCCATCGCAGCTGTCGCAGCTGCCGCGCAAACTTGCGCTCAAAAAAGCGACGCGGCGACAGATGAACGCCGCCGCAAGAACTGCGAAATAGATAAATAAAAATGTTCCGTTAACCAGACCACTCCGGGCTACATGGGGGGTGAAGGGGAGTGGGGGAGTGACTGTAGAGATGAGGGGAATGAGGGAGTGGGCGAGTGGGGGGAGTGGGTGAGAGGTGTAAAGGAAGAGGGAGTGGGGAAGTGATAGGTAGAGATGAGGGGAATGGGGGAGTTATGGGGTATGGGGCAGAGAAGAGGGAGTGAGGGAGTGATGGGGTAGGGATGAGGGAGTGGCAAGTGAGAGGGCTAACAAGTGCACGGTAACTCCACTTCACCCACACATCACCCATGTTGTTATCTCACCCACATAACAACATAAATAAAGATTCAATATAATATGTCTTATAATGTAATAATGTAATATAACAACACAATAAAGTTTAAATATAATATTTAATATAATGTAATAATGTAATATAACAACACAATAAAGATTAAATATAATATGTAATATAATGTAATAATGTAATTTAACAAGACAGTAAAGAATAAATACAGTGAATTAAATGCGACGCTACCATCGCCCTTACGACGTCACGTACGGCAGACCAGGCGACATGCTGGGGTCTGAGGCAGGGTGGGGTCTGACCCTAGCGACTAATGGGGTCTGACCCCTGTGCAAGAGTGGGGTCTGACCCCTGTGCAAGAGAGGGGTCTGACCCCACCAATGCTCACTCCCCTGCTAGGTAGCTAAGTAATTACTAAGAGGTAACTTAAATATAACCACGACGCAACCAAGAGGTAATTTAATAGGTAACTAACAGGACACTACCTTTACATTACTTGAGAAAATTAGGAAATAACTACGAGATAATAAAGAACGAACTAAAGGACAACTTAGATGTAATTGAGGGGACTAAGAGGCTACTTAGAGGCAAGTATGTGGCAACTAAAAGTTAATTATTAGTTAATTTTAAGTAATCTTAATTAATTTTATAATTAGCTAACTTTAATTTAAATGATGTTAATTAGGGTAATAATTAGCTAACCCAAAATGATGGGAGCAAAGAGGTAAATTTGAAGGTCGCTAAGCAGTAACTAAATGATAATTATATAAATTTAATTATATAAGAGGTAGTTTTATAAGAGGTAATTATATTTGAGGTAATTATATAAGTGGTAATTATATACGTGGTAAATAAATAAGAGGTAATTATAAAAGAGGCAATTACATAAGAGGTAATTATATAAGAGATAATTACGTGAGAGGTAATTACATAAGAGATAATTATATAAGTGGTAATTATATGAGTGGTAATTATATACGTGGTAATTAAATGAGAGGTAATTATATAAGAGGTAATTATATGAGAGATGATTATATATGAGGTAATTACATAAGGGATAATTATTTATGAGGTAATTATATAAGAAGTAATCATATAAGAGGTAATCATGTAAGTGGTAATGAAATAAGAGGTAATGAAACAAGAGGTAATTACATAAGAGTAGCACAGGCTGCTGCTGTAGACGCGGTGCCCCAAACGACGCCCCTAACTCTGCCATGAAGGCTTACGACCTCAGCACGTGCTACCTGCAGTGGGGTGGGGGATGGGTAAGAACAATAAAAATGCTCAAAAAAAGGGGAAGAGTTGTTTGGATTACAGTCGCATAACAGGATTAATCTTAACAATTGTTAATCATTAATTATTAGTATCAATTGTTAATTATTATTAAGAATAGTAAAACACATTCCTCCTCGATGTGTTACTTGGATGATATTGTTGGAATAATTCTCATGGGCGGGGAATGATGAGGATTGTGAGCTTTGATCAAAACAGCAATAATTATTCAGTATATATAAGCACACTGACATGAAGTAGGCAATTAACTTACATTTCAAGGGTGAGTCCAGCGCTTGTAAAGAAGCAGTGCCGTTGAGTAAGTTCCTCTTAAGTTGCTTGTTCTGCTTAACTCACATAATTCAGAGTTATGGGACAGGGCCCATACTTTCAAAGAAAGTTAAGAGA